TTGTATCATAAATTGTACTACCTCATATTAATAATAGAGTAAAATATTGAATATTTGCAATCTACCACTCTTCACCTATCTAGACTTAAGTAGTTTTTAAGTATTAGGTTAAGTCTGCCCAAAATGACTCAGCATGATAGTGATTTTCTTTGTACCAATCAAATCAGGAAATATAAACACACATTGTAACCTTAGCAAAGAAATAAAAGTCTGATTTTGACTTTTTAATTTTGATAATGATCATATGACAGGGCTATTTTCATAATGATAAGTCAAAATTCATATTCAAAGAGGTGGAAGTTATGAGGGTAATAAATTTATGCAATTGTGCTTCTAGATGAAGGCCACATAACTCTTTATTTAACACTGTCATTGATCAAACGTTGATCTATATTTTCACTTCTAGCACTCCGAATATTTACATATTTTTTAAATACAGTGGGCCCCCGGTATTCGATATTAATCCGTTCCTGAGAGCTCATCAAATACCGAAAATATCGAAAACCGAATCAATTTTCCTCATAAGAAATAATGGAAATCAAATTAATCCGTGCAAGACACCCAAAAGTATGAAAAAACAAAATTTACTACATGAAATATTAAGTTTAATGCAATAGAATAATTACAATAATAAAATAATTGACACTTACCTTTAATGAAGATCTGGTGATGATTGATGGGATGGAAGGAGGGGAGAGGTGTTAGTGTTTAGAAGGGGAATCCCCTTCCATTAGGACTTGAGGTAGCAAGTCCTTTTCCGGGGTTACTTCCCTTCTTCTTTTAATGCCACTAGGACAGCTTGAGAGTCACTGGATTTCTGTCGCACAACATACCTGTCCATAGAAGCCTGTACCTCCCGTTCCTTTATGACATTCCTAAAGTGTTTCACAACATTGTCAGTGTAATAGTCACCAGCACGGCTTGCAATAGCTGTGTTAGGGTGATTGTCATCAAAAAAGGTTTGCACTTTAAGCCACATTGCACACATTTCCTTAATCTTTGAAGTAGGCAACTTCTTCAATTTCTCTCTCCCCTCCTCCAAAGCAGTTTCCTCAAGTGTGGCCTCTTGCTGTTGAAGATGATCTATCAGCTCATCAGTAGTTAGTTCTTCATTGTCCTCCTCCACCAACTCTTCCACATCCTCCCCACTAACCTCCAACCCCAAGGACTTCCCCAATGCCACAATGGATTCCTCAACTGGCATAGGATTCTCAGGGTTAGCCTCAAATCCTTCAAAATCCTTTTTGTCTACACATTCTGGCCACAGTTTTTTCCAAGCAGAGTTCAAGGTCCTCTTAGTCACTCCCTCCCAAGCCGTACCTATAAGGTTTATACAATTGAGGATATTAAAGTGATCCTTCCAAAACTCTTTTAGAGTCAGTTGAGTTTCTGTGGTCACTATAAAGCACTTTTGAAACATAGCTTTTGTGTACAGTTTCTTGAAGTTGGAAATGACCTGCTGGTCCATGGGCTGCAGGAGAGGAGTGGTATTAGGAGGCAAAAGCTTGACCTTAATGAAGCTCATGTCCCCAGAAAGTCGCTCTGCCAAGTCTGTAGGATGACCAGGGGCACTGTCTAATACCAGGAGGCACTTAAGGTTTAATTTCTTTTCAATTAGGTAATTTTTCACAGTGGGGGCAAATACTTGGTGTAACCAGTCATAAAAAAAGTCCCTAGTGACCCACGCCTTACTGTTTGCCCTCCACAGCACACACAAATTAGCCTTGAGGACATTGTTTTTCCTGAACACTCTGGGAGTTTCAGAGTGATACACTAATAAAGGCTTCACTTTGCAATCACCACTAGCATTGGCACACATTAACAGAGTAAGCCTGTTTTTCATAGGTTTATGTCCTGGGAGTGCCTGAGTAATGTAGGTCCTGCTTGGCATTTTCTTCCAAAACAGGCCTGTTTCATCGCAATTAAACACTTGTTCAGGTTTCAAGTCTTCACTGTCTACGTAATCCTTGAATTCCTTCACATATTTTTCAGCTGCTTTTTGGTCTGAACTGGCAGCCTCACCATGCCTTACCACACTGTGTATGCCACTATGATTCTTAAATCTTTCAAACCAACCTTTGCTGGCCTTAAATTCACTCACATCAGCACTAGTTGCAGGCATGTTTTTTATGCCAAATTTCTGGGAAATAAACAACTATTTGTATTGTACACAGTGTTTATCCTAAGCCTTACAGTATACAATACAGTACTAACAACATAAAAAGTAAAGTAAAACATGAAATACCAAAATAAAACAATAAAATAAAGTCATTACAAATGTTTTGTTGATATTCAGTAGTAAGTTCGACTTACGACCATTTCGACTTACGACCGGTTTCTCGGAACCGAACTCGGTCGTAAGTCGGATGGTAGGTGTATATACACACACCCCTCTGGGTTTTCTTCTATTTTCTTTCTAGTTCTTGTTCTTGTTTATTTCCTCTTATCTCCATGGGGAAGTGGAACAGAATTCTTCCTCGGTAAGCCATGCATGTTGTAAGAGGCAACTAAAATGCTGGGAGCAAGGGGCTAGTAACCCCTTCTCCTGTACATATTACTAAATGTAAAAGGAGAAACTTTCGTTTTTCCTTTTGGGCCACCCCGCCTCGGTGGGATACGGCCGGTGTGTTGAAAGAAAGAAAGAAATGTCCCAGCAATATTTTTAGAAGTAGTATATGAAACTCCTTGATGTATAGTGTGAGACAAGTGTCACTCTACACTACTGACAGTGCAGTCACTCATCAGTCAGTATTGCTGTTCATGCACTACTCCCAAACCTTAGCATATGTTTTTTTTATTTGTTCACACTGTTACATCTATCTGTCTATGTTATCTGTCAAACTGTCTGTCTAGTTGTCTGTCTGTCTAGCTGTCTAACTCTGTCTCTGTTTATCTGTCTCTGTTATCTGTCTGTCTTTCTGCCTGCCTGTCTCTCTCTGAATGTGTATCTCTCTCTCTCTCTCTCAGTCTGCCTGTGTATCTCTGCCTGTCTTTCTCTCCATCTCAGAGAGAGCTGCTCATGAACCAACAGGTATTACAAACACTGAAGAATCATCATGTCTGAATCCTGAACAAGTTGAAATGCATATTACTTGAGAGTCATGCTCATGTCTCATATCTATAAGCACAGTATGCCACTTTGCCTGTCTTTTTTGGGTTATTCTAGGTAATTTACACTATGTATGACAACTGTACTTATGTGTACCTGTGAGATAAGAGACAGTGAGAGAGACAGAGATAGAGACAGCCAAAGTCAATCAGACACCCACCCACCCAGCCAGTCAAGTCAGTCACACACCCAGCCAGTTAAGCCAGTCACCCAACCAGCCAGTCAAGCCAGTCACCCAACCAGCCAGTCAAGTCAGTCACCCACCCAGCCAGTCAAGCCAGTCACCCACCCAGCCAGTCAAGCCAGTCACCCAACCAGCCAACCAACCTGCTGAACACATATTAAAAAAAAAAAAAAGCTTCACTTGGAAATCTCCACTAGTGTTACCACAGAACAAAAGAGTTAGCCTATCCTTCAAAGGCTTGTGTCCTGGCAGTGCCTTTTCCTCCTGCATGACGTAGGTCCTCTTTGGCATTTTCTTCCAAAACAGGCCTGTTTCGTCACAATTGAACACTTGTTGGGGGAGGAATCCTTCAGCCTCTACATACCCCTTGAATTCATCAACAAATGCTTCAGCCACACGTTTGTCTGAACTTGCAGCTTCACCATGCCTTACAACACTGTGTATGCCACTTCGCTTCTTGAATCTGTTGAACCAGCCTTTGCTGGCCTTAAATTCAGCAGCAGCACTAGTTCCCGGCAATTTCTTTAAGAGATTCGTATGCAACTGCCTTGCCTTCACATTCCAGGATCATTTCTCTTTACTTAGGGCATAGATTATATATAGGACATTTTGGCAGGATGACACTGCCACTGGTATCAAAATTGAAAGGATGTGGTTTTTTATATTTCCTCAATCATTTGTGACCACATCCATCTCAAAGTCACTAAACTCTGGGTCAACATCACTTTCCTCTTAAAAGGAGAGTGTTAATACAATGTGACATCAGTGAATCCCCGGTGTTTGCCACGCTGTTTGTTCTAGCTGGCACTCAATTGAACTGGTGCTCCCACAAGGTACTAAGTGGTTCCAGATTTTTTAATACTGTGCACACTTAGTGTTAAGACCCAATCTATTACTGACAATGTATTTCAGGCCAATCATGCCAAATTTGGAGACAGGAAAAATAAAACATCAATCTATGTTTGAACATAAGAAAGAAGGAACACTGCAGCAGGCCTACTGGCCCATGCAAGGCAGGTCCAAGTCACCTCCCAGCTTAAACCAATGACCCACCTAGTCAGGACAGGTCAGGTCACATCCACTTAAGTCAGGAGCCCTAGCAGTAAGAACGTAGATCAACATTTGGACAGTTAAGGGGTTAGTTCTTATATTATCTCACAGGATATGAAAACACTACATGTGCTAACTGCTGATTTAGAAAAAACAATTTACTCACACCCATGAAGCCTGAAAATATATCCTACAGTTTACACCTGGGGTTATGAAAAACATGAGAGAAAGTATAGTTCCCCCCACTCCCAACATAATATGGCCAATAATGGAAAAAACAGACCACAGAATGGGTGGGGTTTGAACCCATGGTGAGTGAGTTGTAAGACTCAAGGCCAGTGTGTAAGTCACTGTACCAGCTGGCTACAATAAGATTCAGCCAACTAGGTGTATTTATACACCTAGTTGGACAAGTTTTATTGTAGCCAGCTGGCACAGTGGCTTACGGACTGGCCTGGAGTTTTACGACTCACTTGCCACGATCCAACCCCCCCCCCCCCCCCCCAGTATAGTGGTTTGTTTGCAATCGTGTTATGATTTCGTGAGTCATGTAATTTAACAAAATTGTTGTTATATTGTGTAGAAACACATAAATTACCATAATTTTAAACCAAACTTATTCTCAAAGCTTTACTGTATGAGATCAAATCTACTTACTTTGCGAATGGGTAGTGTAGAAACAAACTTGATAATTTCTTCACGGTCAGAAGCCAAGTAAAACTGTCCATTGGGCTTATTCATATCACTGCAGATCTTTGCCAGACGAGTATTGGCAGCAATACCTGCAACAACAGCATTTTTTTTAAACATTTTCAAATGTCAACCTTTTATTGCTTTGCCTTTATTTTCTTTATCACATTGATTACTTCTCACCCAGGGTAGAATGATCCAGAGAAGACAACACATTCACCATCATACTTTTCCAGAAATATGTGGCTACCATAATTCAAATGACTCTTTGAACCACTTATTATGAAATTTATATGTACAGTAGACCATTATATTACACAGTAGTTACGTTCCTGAAAACGCTGTGTTAGGTAAATCTGTGTTAGATAAAATGAAGAACTTAGGGCAAAAATGAGGTTACATTCCAGGGAGCCTTCAAAAAATCCAAACAATTTTTTTTTTTAAACCTCCAGATCTTACAAAAATAAAAGTGAATATGTAATTGTTGTTCACTGTGATGTATTATGTTGTTTTACTGCTTAAGATTACAAACAAGAGAAATAATAGTATTTCTTACCTTAAATTCTGGGTGCTGGTGTGTGTTGATGATTGTGAAAAGAGTGGAGAGTTATGCTGTTGCCCTACTGGGCTGAGGTGGATGATAGAGGTTCTGGTACTGAAGTCAATAGTTCAACTAGAGTGTGCATAAATTCTGTAATGGATTTCTGTGCTATTTTATCCTGCAGTACATTATACAGCTAACAGTAAGGTATCAGCTGCTCTAGAAACTGTTTCAGAGCACTGCTGCTAGATTTGTCAGAGTCCTCTTCAGTAAAAAAGTCTAACTTTAAGTCAGTAAGTTGGTAAAGTCAACTCAGTAAGTCAGTCAATAAGTCAGTCAGTAAGCCAGTACAACAGTAAGTCAGTCAGTAAATCAGTAAGTCAGTCAGTGAGATGATATCCTGGGTTATTCATTACACAAACTCGTATATTTACCTCATTCTTTTTAACTGTACAAACTGATGCTTCATTACAGCCAAAGGCTCTCTCTTGTCTAATATCTCTACCTCACTGGCAACTACCCTAATACTCTATTTTTAGCCCAACAAACTCTATTGAAATCTCGCTTATCATCAAAACACTAAGAACAAGACAGAAGACCTAAATAACTTACCACCACTCATGCATAAAAAAGCTTCTCATGTGTTGTCACCAATTATTGCAACTCTTTTTAACAAATCCATTGAATCTTCCACCTTCCCATCCATACTCAAGGCAGCAAGAGTCACCCCAATCCTCAAAGGAAGTGATCCAACTGAATTGAACAATTATAGGCCTATATCAAACCTGCCCCTGCTATCTAAAATCTTTGATAAATTAATACACAAACAAGTCTACTTTTACTTCATATCCCACAACATACTCAACCCTTGTCAGTTTGGGTTCAGACCAAAAAAAAGTACTAATGATGTTATTATACATATGCTTGAACTAATATACTCTGCACTCGAGAAAAATGAATTTCCCCTGGGACTGTTCATAGACTTACGAAAAGCTTTCGACACAGGTGACCATGACCTTTTGCACCAAAAACTCGAACATTACGGGGTCAGAGGACACTCTCTCGATTACCTAAAATCTTATCTCCACAACAGAACCCAGTAGTATACACAAATGGAGCCTGTTCCACTACACAACCTGTTCTTGTTGAGTCCCACAGGGGAGCATTCTTGGCTCACTTCTCTTTCTCATTTACATCAATGATCTACCAAACGCATCTATCTCCTTAAACCCATTTTATTTGCAGATGACACAGCTTATGTCTTTTCTCACCCAAACCCAACCATACTAATAGACACAGTAAATGCTGAACTGCTAAAAATATCAACTTGGATGATTACCAACAAACTTACTCTCAACATAGACAAAACCTACTTCATGCTTTTCGGAAACAGAGCATCAAATGTACAGCTAAACACACTGATAAATGGTTCACCTATCTCGAGACAGGCAGAGGGCAAATTTCTAGGTCTCCACCTTGACTGCAGTCTCAAATTTCAGACACACATACAGCAAATTTCTAAGAAAGTCTCCAAAACAGTAGGCATCCTTTCAAAGATACGGTATTATGTACCCCAAGCGGCTCTTCTTGCTCTTTATCAATCTCTCATTTACCCTTACCTCACCTATGGTATTTGTGCATGGGGCTCAAACACAGCAAATTACCTTAAATCTTTAATAATCCAATAAAAAGCTGCAGTGCGACTGATTACCAACTCCTGCACTAGACAGCACACTCCACCACTTTTCGAGAGCCTTAACTTGCATAATATACAAAACATCCACACTTATTATTGTGCCTACTATACACACAGAACATTATACTCAAATATTAACCCTCCTCTTAGACTCCTCCTTGATAACTACAACAAAACACACAGGCATAATACAAGGCACAAATTGCTCTTCGATATCTTTTGTGTCCATCTCTCCCTATGCAAAAATGCTATGCACATAAAATACCTGAAGATCTGTAATTCATTGCCAGAACACACTAAAGAGCCACTGCTTGCAAATTAATTTAATTTTTTTTTTTTAACAAACCAGTCGTATCCCACCAAGGCGGGGTGGCCCAAAACGAAAAACGTAAGTTTCTCTTTTTAAATTTAGTAATTTATACAAGAGAAGGGGTTACTAGCCCCTTACCCCCGGCATTTTAGTCACCTCTTACAACACACACATGGCTTACGGAGGAAGAATTCTGTTCCACTTCCCCTCATCACCCAAAATTAACCAGACAAACACTTTACTTAACCCTTTGAGGGTCGACAGGCCCTCTCCGAAACTCGTTCTCAGGGTCGGCCAAATTTAAAAAAAAAAAAAAAAAAAAAAATCTCTTATGAAAAGATAGACAATTTTTTCCCGATCATAAGGACACCAAAAGTTTGAAATTTGATGGAAAACTTACGGAATTATGCTCTCGCGAAGTTAGCGGTCTCGGGGATGTTTATGCATCGGCGATTTTGCCCACTTTGAGCCCCATTTTCGGCCAATTCCACTGTACTAGTCGACAAAAAACATGAATATTTCGCTAGAACTCCATTTTTTCTATCGAATGGGTGCAAGAAACCACCCATTTATGAAATTCAACTATCCAGTACAGTGGTCAGAATTTAGCAATTTTGCCAATTTCATACAAATTTCAAAAGATGCCAATTTCCAAACAGGGTCCAGAATAAACAAGAAAGACATTCCTGGCACTAAAATGACATTTCCTCTGGTCATTAGTCACGTCTCAAGGCCCCTCTTATATTCTTTTGCTTTCCACTTTGAATTTTTATTCTCACAAAAAATATAAGATTTACTGTTATGCAGACTACTGCATTAGTGTAAAAAAATGGTATAAATATTATTGGCGCACTTGTGAAAGAATATCAGACTCACCAGTTGACGTGTATTGGATCATTGGCACGATTTGTTTACTTTTGAAATTTGGTAAAAATCGAACATTTCTGCTACTTTGAGCTCAATTTCAGGGTATCTTTCATTGTAAAACCAGTCAAAATCATCTCAATTTCTGTAATATGTCTTCCATTCTATAAAATGAGATCAAGAAAACTGGAATACAACAATAAATATCATACGAAAATACAGTGCGAAGTCGCTGTTTTATTCCAAAAAAACGGTCAAAGTTTTTTTTTTCTCATTATGCACTGTGTGCTGCAGGATTTTTTTTAGACTGTGCACACTGACCACATAGACCCATTCTTTCATATGAAGGCCTACCAGCTTTCTCCCACTAGATTTGAGGGCGCTAGAATTTAGGCGTACGTCAAAAACCCTGCGTCGTAAGCCGTACTAGTACGTCCGAAACCCTCAAAGGGTTAATACCTACCAGTTACTCAAAAAAAATACTAAATAATTTAACCCGTGAACGGTCCAAGCAGATCTACGTTCACATGTGTAGTACTAAAGTAGTAGTACTAAAGCCAGCAACAAACAACAAAATACCTTTCATCCGTGGACTGCTTGCAGAGGCAAATGCAATGTTCGCGGTTTTCACTGAGACCCACATAAAGGATCACTTGGACAACGAAATATGGATCCCAGGTTACAACCTATACAGATGTGACAGAGTGAACAGGCAAAAGGGGAAGTTGGCCTGTACATTGCAGAGTCACTTGTTTGCACAGAACTGCTAAATGCCTCAAATGATGTAGTGGAAGTTTTAGCAGTAAAGGTCGAGAACCAAAACCTAGTCATTGTGGTAGTCTACAAGCCTCTGGATGCAACATCCCAGCAATTCCAGGAACAGCTGTTAAAAATTGACCACTGTCTGGAAAACCTTCCAGCTCCTGCACCCAACATCTTGCTCCTGGGGGATTTCAACTTAAGGCACCTAAAATGGAGGAATATAGCAAATAATATTGTTGCAGTAATAACAACAGGAGGCAGCTCTGATGAAAACTCACACTCACGCGAGCTTTAAATCTCTGCACAAAATTCAATTTAAACCAGCAAATAATAGAGCCTACTAGACTGGAGAATACACTAGACCTCATCTTCACTAACAATGATGATCTGATAAGAAATGTCACCATATCAAAAACAATATACTCAGATCACAACATAATTGAGGTTCAGTCATGTATGCACGGAGCCCCAGACCGACATAATGAGATTAGTCACGAGGGAGCATTCACCAAATTCAACTTCAATAACAAAAACATAAAGTGGGACCAAGTAAACCAAGTCCTAACCGATATAAGCTGGGAAGGTATACTAAGCAACACAGACCCCAACTTATGCCTAGAACAGATTAACTCGGTGGCACTCGATGTATGCACAAGGCTTATTCCTCTAAGAAAAAGGAGGAGTAGATGTAAAACAGAAAGAGACAGGCGCTCCCTTTACAGGCGACGGAAAAGAATAACAGAGCGGCTAAAAGAGGTCAATATATCTGAAATGCGTAGGGAGAAAATGGTCAGAGAAATAGCAAGCATCGAACTTAAGCTAAAAGAATCCTTTAGGAGTCAGGAATCCCGGGAAGAACTAAAAGCCATAAATGAAATCGAAAGAAACCCAAAGTATTTCTTCTCCTATGCCAAATCAAAATCGAGAACAACGTCCAGTATTGGCCCCTACTTAAACAAGATGGGTCCTACACAGATGACAGCAAGGAAAGAGTGAGCTACTCAAGTCCCAATATGATCAGTTTTTTAGCAAGACGCTAACCAGACTGAAGTCGAAGATCAAAATGAATTTTTTTATGAGAGAGCCACAAAATTTGATTAACACAAGCCTATCCGATGTTATCCTGACGCCAAATGACTTCGAACAGGCGATAAATGACATGCCCATGCACTCTGCCCCAGGGCCAGACTCTGGAACTCTGTGTTCATCAAGAACTGCAAGAAGCCCCTATCACGAGCCTTTTCCATCCTATGGAGAGGGAGCATGGACACGGGGGTCGTCCCACAGTTACTAAAAACAACAGACATAGCCCCACTCCACAAAGGGGGCAGTACAGCAACAGCAAAGAACTACAGACCAATAGCACTAACATCCCATATCATAAAAATCTTTGAAAGGGTCCTAAGAAGCAAGATCACCACCCATCTAGAAACCCATCAGTTACACAACCCAGGGCAAATGGGTTTAGAACAGGTCGCTCCTGTCTGTCTCAACTATTGGATCACTACACAAGGTCCTAAATGCACTAGAAGACAAAAAGAATGCAGATGTAATATATACAGACTTTGCAAAAGCCTTCAACAAGTGTGACCATGGCGTAATAGCGCACAAAATGCGTGCTAAAGGAATAACAGGAAAAGTTGGTCGATGGATCTATAATTTCCTCACCAACAGAACACAGAGAGTAGTCGTCAACAGAGTAAAGTCCGAGGCAGCTACGGTGAAAAGCTCTGTTCCACAAGGCACAGTACTCGCTCCCATCTTGTTCCTCATCCTCATATCCGACATAGACAAGGATGTCAGCCACAGCACCGTGTCTTCCTTTGCAGATGACACCCGAATCTGCATGACAGTGTCTTCCATTGAGACACTGCAAAGCTCCAGGCGGACATCAACCAAATCTTTCAGTGGGCTGCAGAAAACAATATGAAGTTCAACGATGAGAAATTTCAATTACTTGATATGGTAAACATGAGGAAATTAAATCTTCATCAGAGTACAAAACAAATTCTGGCCACAAAATAGGCGAAACACCAACGTCAAAGACCTGGGAGTGATCATGTCGGAGGATCTCACCTTCAAGGACCATACATTGTATCAATCGCACTGCTAGAAAAATGACAGGATGGATATGAGAACCTTCAAAACTAGGGAGGCCAAGCCCATGATGACACTCTTCAGGTCACTTGTTCTATCTAGGCTGGAATATTGCTGCACACTAACAGCACCTTTCAAGGCAGGTGAAATTGCCGACCTAGAAAATGTACAGAGAACTTTCACGGCGCGCATAACGGAGATAAAACACCTCAATTACTGGAGCGCTTGAGGTTTCTAAACCTGTATTCCCTGGAACGCAGGAGGAGAGATACATGATTATATACACCTGGAAAATCCTAGAGGGACTAGTACCGAACTTGCACACGAAAATCACTCACTACGAAAGCAAAAGACTTGGCAGACGATGCACCATCCCCCAATGAAAAGCAGGGGTGTCACTAGCACGTTAAGAGACCATACAATAAGTGTCAGGGGCCCGAGACTGTTCAACTGCCTCCCAGCACACATAAGGGGGATTACCAACAGACCCCTGGCAGTCTTCAAGCTGGCACTGGACAAGCACTTAAAGTCAGTTCCGGATCAGCCGGGCTGTGGCTCGTACGTTGGTTTGCGTGCAGCCAGCAGCAACAGCCTGGTTGATCAGGCGCTGATCCACCAGGAGGCCTGGTCACAGACCGGGCCGCGGGGGCGTTGACCCCTGGAACTCTCTCCAGGTAAACTCCAGGTAAACTACAAAAGTAGATCTACGTTTTTTTACATATTTTCAAATATAACAAAAAAAAGTAGATGATCAAAGTTTTTTTTACACATTTTCAAATGTAAAAAAACAAAAAGAAGATCTGCTTTTTTTACATACTTTCAAATGTTGAAAAAACGTATATATACGTTTGGACCGTTTACGGGTTAAGACTGCTCAACTTCTTGATCATTTATTTCAAACCTAAAATTTTTTCAATTTCATTATTGTATATTATGCTTAATGACTGCTCAGCCATTTACTCATTACTTCAAACTTAACCCCTTCAGGGTCCAAGGCCAAAATCTGAAGTGGTGCACCAGTGTCCAAGAATTTTCCAAAAAAAAAATTTTTATTTTTTTCTTTTGAAATGATAGAGAATCTTTTTGTGAAAGTAATAAAACAAAAAGTACGAAATTTGATGGAAAATTGACGAAATTATGCTCTCGCGAATTTTGATGTGTCAGCGATATTTACGAATCGGCGATTTTGCCGACTTTGACTCCCATTTTAGGCCAATTACATCATTCCAGTCGACCAAATTCTTAGCTATTTCACTAGTATTACTTCTATTCTATTGATTGAGCACAAGAAATCGCCAAGTCAACTGTTACAACTACAAAATAAAGTGATCGGAAATTGGTAATTTGGCCAATTTAACACAAAGTTCAAAATATTCCAATTTCAAAATAGCGTCCAGAATAAACAATGTAGGTATTCCTGGAACTAAACTAACATTTCCTCTGTTCATTAGTTACATTTTGAGTCTTTACAAATAAATCCCATTTTGATTTTTTATTCACATAATGAATTTTTATTCACACCAAAAAATAGAAGATTTACTGTTATGCAATATTGTAATAATTGTATAAATATCATCACCACATTTGTGAATGTATATTAGACCCACCAGCTGGCGTGTATTAGATGTGTGAGGTCGTTTGTTTACTCTTGAACATGAGAGTAAGACACATGTGCAACATCTGGGTATCTTTATTGTAGACGTTTCACCATCCAGTGGCTTTATCAATACGAATTCCAGGACATAACTTGAAGACAGTAGAACTATGTACAGAAGATGAGGTAATCAGTCCCTCAACCTAGGAGTAGGTGCGAACAGCACCATAGTCGCCATATGGTGCTGTTCGCACCTACTCCTAGGTTGAGGGACTGATTACCTCATCTTCTGTACATAGTTCTACTGTCTTCAAGTTATGTCCTGGAATTCGTATTGATAAAGCCACTGGATGGCGAAACGTCTACAATAAAGATACCCAGATGTTGCACATGTGTCTTACTCTCATCCTGTCGGTATTATATACCATTCGTACACAACTCTTGAACATCGGCAAAAATTTAACATTTCCACTACTTTGAGCTCAGTTTCAAGCCATTTCCAGTGCTAAAACCAATCAAAATCATCTCGATTTCTGTAATATGTCTTCCAATCTGTCAAATGAGACCAAGAAATTGCAAATACAACTATAAAAAACATATGAAAAAACACTGCAAAGTTGCTGTTTTAATCGAAAATCTTGGTTTCAGTTTTTTTTCTCTCATTATACACAGTGTGCTGCAGGATTTGTTTTATGTGGTGCACACATACCACATAGATGTATTCTCTCATATCTAGGCCCAAGTGTACCACTCACAGTTTATCAGAGCGAGCTGAGCTTATGACGTAGATCTACGGTTTGGACCCTGAAAGTAAAGCCGTAGATCTACGGTTTGGACCCTGAAAGTAAAGCCGTAGATCTACGGTTTGGACCCTGAAAGTAAAGCCGTAGATCTACGGGACGGACCCTGAAAGGGTTAAAATTCTTTCAACTTCATTGTTTGAAATTGTGCTAAATTGTAATACTGTATATTTTTTAAAAACTATATCAAAACTAAGTATTCTCTACTGAACTTACTAAAGCCATATAGCGTGAACTAACAGAATACAGTATTCAGTTTTCTTGTATTCACTGTCACTCACCTAATGACCATATGTACAATTACAGCATTGTTATTGCCTTATTAATCTTAAGTTAGTCTTAACTATGTCCAAAATGCTCTGCATATAAAGGGGCTTTGGCATGTACACCCAATTGTTACACTCCTTTGTATAAACATGTATCATGCTAAAATAAACTTGTTATTGTCAAATAAAATGAATGGAAATAAGAAAATGAAGATACTCTAGAAAAGACTCATCAGGGTAACTAGGGATCCCAGGGCAGCTAGTTTTCTGTTCCAGCGACTCAGCACTGCTATTCAGAGGGGTAATGCCTGCTGTATTTTGGGCACGCGCCCCAGTTCTGAAGAGTTGGATGAGATTTTCGCATTATAATCAGTGACAAACACGTAACAATAAGTACTAGATATGTATCTCTCACACCTCATGTACTGTATGTGCCATCTTTATATCAACAATGTATCTCTTAAACCTTTTGTGCCATATTATGTAATAAAATATACCTATTGGTAAAAATGAATGAAAAGATGGGGTAGTAAGGGAAAGTGGAATATTCAAACGGCTTCAGGAAGAAATCCAAATATTCTTCCTCGAAGCCTTATTATCCACCTCTCCAAGGCTGTGGGTCCCACAATTTACACCAGAGGTGGACCACTCTATAAGTATTTTATATTTTTGAGATACACACTTGCACTGGCAACATGAACAACATGGGAACACTCACCTGCACTTGCCGTCAGCTGCGTCTTGCTGAAAATTTTCTCTCTTATCTCTTCTACTATAGCCTTCGATAACCTACCATTTTCATTGTCTGAAAACCAAGTATTTCAAAGTCTTAATATGTATGTCTATAAATCCAAGGCAGTGATATTTTATATATTAGGGTAAACATGGGGATGTGTCTCACAAAATTTTAATAACACCATTGTAAAGAAATACGTATATTTAGTTGGATGAATCATATTAAGAGTCATCTAGCCCAATGGTTAACACACTAACCTGTGAGTTTCAGCACTCACTTGCCATGGGTTTAAACCTCATCCATTCCATAATTTGAAAAGGATGTGAGAAGGGAGGAGAGGAGAAAGGTCTTCAGTATATACTGTACATGTTTTATATATGTTAGGTACAGGTCCTCCATCACAAATCCAGCATCATTGGGACCTGTAGTGTGAAGGATTACTGAGTTTGCCGGATTACAAAGTGGTTAGGTTAGAATACACTTGATAAAATTAACCAACTTGACTTACACAAAGTTCATTGAGCATTGGCAAAAATCAAACATTTCCATTACTTTGAGCTCAATTTCAAGGTGCTTTTCGTCATGAAAGCAATCAAAATAATGTCTATTTCTGGAATATATCTTCCATTCTATTAATTGAGACCAAAAAAACGAGAATACAACCATAAAAACCATATGAAAATATACCGCAAAGAAGCGGCTAATGGCTGAAAAGTGAACTCCTTTATTTATGTCGTCTTTTTTTATTTTTGGTGTACGTTAAGAAGCATCTTTCCATCATACATTCCCAAGTTTCAATAAGACAGCCCACAAAAAAACCTGAGAAAAAAAAATTTTTCCCAAAAATTTCAATATGGCAAGCCCAAGCCGGGACTGAAATAAGTCACGCCCTGACTTTTCTGGGTTATCCTGGTTCTTTATACATACACGCTATGTATGATAATCTATGTAACGTAATTTGTGTATACCTGAAAAAATTTACTCATTTCTTGTGTCGACTGATAAAAGAAACCGCCCATCACTAATTTTCAACTACCCAATAAAGTGTTCAAATTGGACCAATTTGCCAATTTCCCACAAATTCAACAGATCCAAATTCAAAACAGGTCCGATAAACAATGCAACATTCCGCACTAAAATAACATTTTCTCTGCTCATTAGTCAAAAGCTCCAGGCCCCTCTTATATTACTCTTGCTTACCATTTCAAATTTTTATTCACACAAAAAAATAGAAGATTTACTGTTATGCAGACTACTGCATTATTACAATAATTGTATAAATAATGTCAACCCATTCTTGACTCCATATTGGAATTTGGACTGGCAGGTGGACAGGTTTTGGACGGTGACCGTCAAAATGTTTACTCTTGAGCTTCCCTAAAGAATAGAACATTTCCACTACTGTGAGTGCAATTTCAAGGTACTTTTCATCATGAGAGCAATCAAAATCATATCTATTTCTGTAATATATCTTCCATTCTATCAAATGAGACCAAAAAAACGAGACTATAACCATAAAAACCATACAAAAATATACCGCTAAGCGGCCGCTAATGGCTGAGAAGTGAACTTCGCTATTTATGGACTGATTTCTTTCATCTTTGGTGTACGTTAAGAAGTATCTTTCCATCATACATTGCCCATGTTGAGAAAATAACAATAATAATAACAATACTACTACTACTAATAATAATAATTTTTTTTTTTCAACAAGTCGGCTGTCTCCCACCGAGGCAGGGTGACCCAAAAAAGAAAGAAAATCCCCAAAAAGAAAATGCTTTCATCATCATTCAACACTTTCACCACACTCACACATTATCACTGTTTTTGCAGAGGTGCTCAGAATACAACAGTTTAGAAGCATATACATATAAAGATACACAACATTTTCCCTCCAAACTGCCAATATCCCAAACCCTCCTTTAAAGTGCAGGCATTGTACTTCCCAATTTCCAGGACTCAAGTCCGACTATATGAAAATAACCGGTTTCCCTGGAATCCCTTCACTAAATATTACCCTGCTCACACTCCAACAGATCGTCAGGTCCCAAGTACCATTCGCCTCCATTCACCCTATCTACCACGCTCACGCACGCTTGCTGGAAGTCCAAGCCCTCGCCAACAAAACCTCCTTTAAACCCCCTCCCTCCAACCCTTTCGAGGACAACCCTACCTCGCCTTCCTTCCCCTAAAAGATTTATATGCTTTCCATGTCATTCTACTTTGATTCATTCTCTCTAAATGGCCCAAACCACCTCAACAACCCCTCTTCTCCCTCTGACTAATACTTTATAAATCCACACTTTTCCTAAATTTTACCTCCGAATTTTCTGCATAATATTTACACCACAACATTGCCCTAGACAGGACATCTCCCACTGCCTCCAACCGTCTCCTCGCTGCTGCATTTACCACCCAAGCTTCACACCCATATAAGAGTGTTGGTACTACTAAAACTTTCATACATTCCCTTCTTTGCCTCCATAGATAAAGTTTTTGACTCCCACATATTCCTCAATGCACCACTCGCCTTTTTTTCCCCCATCAATTCTATGATTAACCTCATCCTTCATAAATCCATCCGCCAACACGTCAACTCCCAAGTATCTGAAAAAAATTCACTTCTTCCTACTCCTCCTCCCCAATTTGGTATCCCAATTTTTCTTTATCTAAATCATTTGATACCCTCATCACCTTACTCTTTCTACCTCACTTTTCAACTTTCTACTTTACACACATTCTCAAACTCATCCACTTTAACCTTTGGCAATTTTTCTTTAGAATCTCCCCAAAGAAAAAAATAATATATAATAATAATAATAATAATACTTTATTTAAATCACGACATAACAAGGTATACAGGCCCAGCTTTACTCATGAACTACTACTATATGAAAGACCCCTTGTTATGCAGAGTATTTCAAGCAAATTAGGTCCCGTGTCCCAATAAACACCCACACCAGTCGACTAACACCCAGTACCCATTTTATGATGGGAAACATAGACAACAGGTGTAAAGAACACGCCAAATGTTCTACCCTGGATGGGAATCGAATATTTACCCAAAAAATATATGGCTAACCAAACCAGGTACTTGAAATAAGCCATGGGGTTGACTTTTTTGGGTTTCCTAGGTTTCCTACACATATGCGCTATGTGTGTTTAATCAATATAAAGAAAATAGGCTTTTTTTGTTTCCAGGTTTATGGTGCAGTAAAGTGTATATCACAGTTAGCCCTGTGCTATTCCGCCGTTTTCTCTAATATAAGCCCCAAGACAAGGAATAGGAGAATGGTACTTGTACTCATTCTCCCTCATAACCTCCATCGAACTGCTCGGTATTATGCCAAATATTATCATTCTGGAGTATTTAACATTTTTATTTATTTATATTTTTTATTATAATAAACAACTGTGATAGCAATAAGCTGTAGTGTTTATGGCCCGGGGCCCGTGGCTTTAAAACTCCCGCTTCACACACGGAGGGCCCGGTTTAATTCCCGGCCGGTGAAACATTTCGACACGTTTCCTTACACCTATTGTCCTGTTCACCTAGCAGCAAATAGGTACCTGGGTGTTAGTCGACTGGTGTGGGTCGCATCCTGGGGGACAAGATTAAGGACCCCAATGGAAATAAGTTAGACAGTCCTCGATGACGCACTGACTTTCTTGGGTTATCCTGGGTGGCTAACCCTCCGGGGTTAAAAATCCGAATGAAAAATCTCTTAAGTCTTGATATTAGCGTAATAATAAAGTATATTCCCCTGCATCACAAGACTGAGCTCACAGCAACCGACAGTGGCTTCAAGGCCACCTTATCTTTAATGGACAATGTACTGTGTATGTGCTTTACACAATGAGAAGCATTTCTTTTATTTGTTGGAACCATGGCTAGGGCTAAAAGTAAACAGGTTATAACAAACGGAGAAAAAGAAATTGGAATGACTTATGCAGCAAGTAGAACCACCAAACAGTACCAGCAGGTTGGTGTGGCAACCCTGGAAATTTGAAATTATGCTAGCCGAAATTAGTGCCGAATAACTGAAGGAACCGAATAACTGATTGCCGGATTTGTGATGGCACACCTGTACAGGATAATCTTATTTAACTGTAAACACAAAGTGCAGGTAAACCCTCAATATAATGGTCCTTGATATAACTGACCTCAATATAATGTAATGGGCTTCAATATATTAGACCTCAATATGACAGACAAAATCCCCTGCGTAAATTGTACTTCTAACTCATTTAATTTCAATATTTACTGCAGTACACTATATCTATAAGCTGTGTGCACTGTACTATATAAAGTACAGTAATACCCCGGTTTTCATCCTTAATCCGTTCCAGAAGGTCGGCTGAAATCCAAAATGGACAAAAAACCGAAGTAATATTTCCCATAAGAAATAATGTAAATCCAATTACAGTGGACCCTCAGTTAACGCCTGCATCGGATAGCGCCAAAATTGGATAATGCCTCGCTTTGGCATAAAAAATTGACTCGGATAACACCTAAAAACTCGGTTAGGAGCTTTCGTCCTATTATTATGTCATATTAGACATAATAATATTATGTCATATTAGATAAATTGTGATAGATAAATAAGCCGTAGAGATATTAGTATCTTATTGAAGCATAATAAACTCGCCTTTCTCTCGCCTCCTACATGCCTGCTACGCTCCATGTCCGTCTGCTACACTCCCAGCATGCCTGCTACACTCCCTGCATGCCTGCTACACTTCCTGCATGCCTGCTACATTCCCTGCATGTCTGCTACACTCCCAGCATGCCTGCTACACTCTCTGCATATCTGCTATACTCCATCAAACTAACTATGTAATTAAACATCTCCAAGATAAGTGCAAATATTTCTGTTATTAATATTGTAATATTATGTTTTATCAGATGAACTGTGATAGATAAATAAGCCACAGAGTTGATAAAAGCATCACATTAAAGTACAGTGGACCCCAGCCTTACGATATTAATCTGTTCCTGAGAGCTCATCATAAGCCGAAATTATCGTTAACCAAATTAATTTTCCCCATAAGAAATAATGGAAATCAAATTAATCCATCCGTTCCTGACACCCCAAAGTATGAAAAAAAAAATTTACCGCATGAAATATTAATTTTAATACACACAAACTGAAGAAGACATGCACAATTACTACTCTACTAAGAACAGAATACATGACACTTACCTTTATCGAAGATCTGATGATGATTGATGGGATGGGAGGAGGGGAGTGTGTGGAAGTTATTGTTTAGAAGGGGAATCCCTTTCCATTAGAACTTGAGGTAGCAAGTCCTTTTCCGGAGTTACTTCTCTTCTTCTTTTAGTGCCACTAGAACCAGCTTGATTCACTGGACCTCTGTCGTACAACAAATCTGTCCATAGAGCTCTGTACCTCCCGTTCCTTTAAGACTTTCCTAAAATGAGCCATAACACTGTCATTGTACAGGCTGCCAACACAGCTTGCAGTAGCTGTGTCAGGGTGATTTTCATCCATAAAGGTTTGCAGTTCAATCCACTTTGCACACATTTCCTTAATCTCGTTTTTCAATTCCATACTAATTCTCGCCCTTTTTACCACAGGGATGGCACTAGAAGCTTTCTTGGGTCCATGGTGACTTATTTTGCAGTTACAAGCACTAAAAACACTGGGATAATGCGAAATGTACCAAATGTATGCGTAGATGCGACCGTACTGGCTGGCTTGTAAACACTGGTGCTGAGGCCACACGTGGGACACGTCCCAGACGAATCACGTAAGGTGAGTTTTTTTATTGTGAGGCGAGGCAAAATTTTTGCGTTCAATTGCTTCGTATGGCAGATTTAACATAACGCGATGCATTCATAAGGCGGGGGTCCACTGTACTATTCTGTCAAGCCTCCTGACAGCAGGAACGGATTAATTGGATTTCCATTATTTCTTATGGGGAAAATTAATTCAGTTAAAGGCTAAATTCAAATTCAAATTCAAATTCAAAGTTTATTCTCTATAAGGATTACAATGCTGAGTTTACAGAATTTGGTTAATGTGTGGTTTACATGTAGTAAAATAATAATTACAGAGTGTACCACTAGAACACCTAGCATGGCTAGGCATTTCGGGCAGACTTATATTAAATCTTAAGTTTAAAATATTACAAAATTATGAGGTAAGTTGGTATTATGGCTAAGTGACTAAATACTAGTTTGTGAGTTTAGCAATGTGAATGCTTTTGTTTTGGCACTATACATAGTTTCAGTATTGGAGTATCACAGGCCAACTTATGACTAGTTAAGATTCATTATTTTGAGATTGAGATTGATATTTCTGTTTATGGTCAAATGGGTGAGTGAGTGTAAGTGTGAACCACCAGGTGGTATTCGTATTATTTGTTGACAGGGTGTATCAGGGAGATAAGATGTTTTCTGATGGTAGTTTTGAAGGTGATGAATGTGTCTGCAGTTTTAGAATTTTCAGGTAGGGTGTTCCAGATTTTAGGGCCTTTGACATACATTGAATTTTTGTAAAGGTTTAGTCGGACACGGGGAATGTCATAGAGATGTTTGTGTCTGATGTTGTGCCTGTGGGTTCTGTCACAACTATCAAGAAAGCATTTTAGGTCAAGGTTAATATTGGAATTTAAGGTCCTGTAGATGTAGACTGCACAGTAGTAAGTGTGGATGTACTGAACAGGGAGTAAGTTTAGATCTATGAAGAGTGGGGGGGTGTGTTGCCAGGGATGGGATTTAGTGATTATTCTTACTGCGGCTTTTTGTTGGGTTATTATTGGCTTTAGGTGTGTTGCTGCAGTTGAACCCCAAGCACAGATAGCATAGGTGAGGTATGGATATATAAGTGAATGGTATAGTGTGAGAAGGGCAGTTTGCGGCACGTAGTATCGTATCTTGGAGAGGATCCCAACCGTTTTGGATACTTTTTTGGTTATGTGTTGGATATGGGTGCTGAAGTTCAGGTTGTTGTCGAGGCATAGGCCTAGGAATTTGCCCTCATTATGCCTGGCAATTAGAGTGTTGTCGATCTTAATGTTAATTTGCGCATCTCCTGTTCTGCTACCAAACATAATGTAGTAGGTTTTGTCAATGTTAAGCCTAAGTTTATTGGCTGTCATCCAAGTCGATATTTTGATCAGCTCCTCATTAACAATGGTGTTGAGGGTGGCAAGATTAGGGTGAGAGATGACATAAGTTGTGTCGTCAGCAAAGAGAATGGGGTTCAGGTGTCAAGATACGTTTGGAAGATCATTGATGTATATGAGGAAAAGCCTAGCCCTCTGGGACAGATTAAAGGTGTTAACCGAGGGTCCACTGTAATCTGTTCCAGACGCCCAAAAATATTAACAAAAAATACATTTTATGGAGAATAACTTCAGTTTTACATAGAGAAAACAATGAGAAATAAATATAAAGGACTAATTTTAGTGGATTAATGAACATTTAAATGAGTTTTACCTTTATTGAAGACTCTTGTTGGTGTATTCTTTATGAGATCCACATACAACTGTCTTGCTGCCTTTTTCCAAATTATCACCTCCACAACACTATCTCCTGCTAACTGTTTTTCGTTGATCCACACCAAAAACAACTTCTCAACATTTTCAATTGTTTGCTATCACTACCACTGTCTACCACCATCACTACTACCCTCTACCACCATCACTACCACCTTCTACACCTCTATGACATTCCCCGTGTCCGACTAAACCTTTACAAAAATTCAATGTATGTCAAAGGCCCTAAAATCTGGAACACCCTACCTGAAAATTCTAAAACTGCAGACACATTCATCACCTTCAAAACTACCATCAGAAAACATCTTATCTCCCTGATACACCCTGTCAACTAATAATACGAATACCACCTGGTGGTTAACACTTACACTCACTCACCCATTTGACCATAAACAGAAATATCAATCTCAATCTCAAAATAATGAATCTTAACTAGTCATAAGTTGGCCTGTGATACTCCAATACTGAAACTATGTACTGTGCCAAAACAAAAGCATTCACATTGCTAAACTCACAAACTAGTATTTAGTCACTTAGCCATAATACCAACTTACCTCACAATTTTGTAATATTTTAAACTTAAGATTTAATTTAAGTCTGCCCGAAATGCCTAGCCATGCGAGGTGTTCTAGTGGTACACTCTGTAATTATTATTTTACTACATGTAAACAACACAATAACCAAATTCTGTAAACTCAGCATTGTAATCCTTACAGAGAATAAACTTTGAATTGAATTGAATTGAATTCTACCACCATCACTACCACCTTCTACCACCATCACAACCACTACCACCTACTACCATCACTACCACCCTCTACCACAATCACAACCACTACCACTCTCTACCACCATCACAACCACTCTCTACCACCATCACAACCACTACCACCCTCTACCATCACAACCATCCTCTAGCACAATCACTACTACCCTCTGCCTTTGTAAAGGATTTATCTGGAATATACCTGGAGAGGGTTTCGGGGGTCAATGCCCCCACGGCTTAGTCTGAGATCAGGCCTCGTGGTGGATCAGGGTCTTATCAACCAGGCTGTTACTGCTGGCCGCACACAAACTGACGTACAAACCACAGCCTTCTTGAAGACAGCCAGGGAACTATTGGTAATCCCCCCTTACGTATGCTGGGAGGCAGTTGAACAGTCTTGTGTCCCAGACACTTACTGTGTTGTCTCTCAATGTACTTGTGGCATGGTAGTGATACTTCTCCACAAAACTTTGCAACTCATTCTACGAGTTCTTTCTTGAATTCTATCATGTTTCTCACCTTCTTTACCAAAGGGCTTGGCCCCATGGTGGCTTATTTCACAGTCACAAACAACAATGGATGAACGTGCGGAGTATTGCTAACTCAACGAGAGACAGAGGCAGGCTGAGTCTATTACATGTAAAAGTGGCATCCCGGTAGGTGGACGCATCTGATAAGGACGATTTCCGAAACGGGAAATACAAAACCCGGGGGAAAATTTCGCCGAAAAAAGAGCTCGAAATCAGAATTGTATGATTTCAAACTGGATAAAAACCAGGGGTCCACTGTACAGTAAAATACAGCCTCTCCTCATTTAGCAACATACTCGCTTACTGACGACTCGGACTTATGACGGGCTCTCTGACCAGTATGCATACCTAAATAATGTATGTTAGAGCTGATTTCCTCTATTCTGTTTATTACAGTATACAGTACACTACTGTATAAACATTTAAAAATATACTAAAAATGTTATAAATGGTGCAAAGGTGACATTAAAATAATATCAAAGATGGTTGACACAAACCCACTACCATTATAGTATGCTCCTCACTTAGTGACAAATTCATTTACCGATGTGATATTAGGAACAGAATTCCATCGTTAAGTGAGGAGAGGCTGTACTTCAACAACTTTTCTGCAATTGTTCAACATAATTCTGATTTAACAAAAATTTGGAGAAACCTTCCCATTAGTCCATTATATAGAGAGTTTACCATAGTGATAATCAAAATATAATCACCCTCCAGTTTGTCGACATCATAGTGTGAAGCATTTTTGTTCATATACTCGGTAATGTCCAAGTATGCCTCGTCCAAAGAAGCGGAGCAAAAATTGGCATCATACTCGGAGAAAACTTCATGAATCTCTTTACTAACTTGCTTGTACTTTGTGAAATTTGGAGGAACAATGACAAGATCAGGACACAGCTTCTTGCCAATGAAACCTGGCATGGCAGCCCGAACACCAAACTTGCGAGCAGCATAGTTGCTCGTACTCAGCATTCCCAGCCCTCCCACTGCCATGGGCTTGTCCCTGTTAGTATTTATTCATAAAATTAAATTCCACTAAAATAGGGCAAAACAGGTGATAGCAATTTTACACATGTTTCCATCTCTATACTCTACTCTCATTTCCTTACAATGACTCTCCACTTGTCTATAAAGTCTGATATTCTCATAATAAAATAATCTACATAAACTGAAATTCAATTTTACTTTAATACACTGGCCATCTCCTACTGAGATAGGGCAATTAAAAAAAAAAAAAAAGTGGTAGCACATCCACGGTCACTCGTCATATTGCTGTGTTGCATTAGCAAGCATTAGTATCAGTCTGCTCAAAATGCTTATGTATGTTAGTGGCTTTCTTTGTGCTTAACTATATTTTACTACATATAAACTACACATTGTATGCTAGACAAAGAAATAAAGTTTTGAATTTTGAATTTGACATGCTGACATCACGGTTCAGATGACACACCAAACTACAACACTGCCACCTGTCTTTCAAAATACCAGCACTGTACCTCTCAATTTCAGGACTTAAGTCTGTCTAACCAGCTTTCCTGAATCTTTCACATATAGATCACATCACATTACACTTCAACATACACTCTCATATAAAAACTCACACAATTTAACTATTAATAGTATTAGTCTAGCAGTCACCATCAGTGGTGGATGTAAGTGTGGGCAGAGTGGGCATCTGACCAAAGGCATCCACCAAATAGAGGCCTCCACCATTAAATTTAACAATAATGTAATAAAATAAGAGTCTGCAGTTACAAAAAATTTAAAGTTTGAAGTAACATTAACAAAATGAGAACAGTTTGTTACCAAAGTAGCCTGGCATGGCAGTATAAACATCAAATTTGTAAGGGGCTTCCACCACTAAACTTAAAAACTATTAACATTATAAAATAAGAGAGTCCAAATTGTGCAGAGTTTATGTTGATTTTGTACAGTTAAAAAAATATCAATAATAATATTAGACCTTTTAACAAGTGAGCCACAGTTTGCAACTCTTCCAGAAACATAAGTCACTTTTCAAGGTTTTCACCTGAGAAAACATACTGATAATGATAATTATATGAAAAAATTGATTGCAAATCACTATGCAAAAACATACAATAATTTGAAAGGTCATAGTATGAGCTTTCAAATTATTGAATTGATAGTAAGTTAAAAATTGAATTGATAGTAAGTTAAAATAATAGTTAAAAAAAAGGGCCAAGATTAACATTAACATCTGAAAATGATCCCCCAGGGGGCCGGGTCACAGACCGGCCGGGGGGGCGTTGCCCCCCGGGGAACTCTCTCCAGGAAACTCCGGGTAATCCAGCACCCGGGGGACCAAAAACTGGGGATGATGTACATAAAACACCTCATTTTTGAATTTTGGGAAATTAGGGAAAAAAAATTTGTTGAACAAAACGGAATCACTGAGGATAACAAGGTATTTAAAGTTTTTTAAAAAGGAAAAAGTGTGTTAAACTAAACTAAAAAATGGGGGGAGAAGAACAGGGTTATTTCACTACCCCTCCCCCTCAAAAAAAAAAAAAAATTATAGGTCCAAAACTATACAAAGAAATGATGATGAAAATTTAAAATTTATAATTGATGAAGTGATGCATCATTAAAGATCCGCAACCACAATGGAGATGCCTTTATTTTTTGGAGTCCCATTCTTTACAACTGTATGGGGATTAAAAAGGGGGGTTAGAGGGGTTTGGGGGGTGTACACAGGGGGGGGTTGGGGCGGGAAAGATCAACCGCTAAGTCAGAGGTTCAATGTGGGGGGGGGGGAACTGGGGTGGGATTAGACGACGCGAAAGGGAAAGGGGAGACTGGTAAAGGGGGGTGGGCAAAAATAAGGGGGTTGGGAGGGGGAGGATGCGGGGCATTAGGGTGAGGGGGGGGGGAGGCTGATTTGGTGTGAGCTACTTTTTGGGGGGCAGTGCGGGGCTCTGGGGGTGGGGGTGGGATGATGGGTGGATAAAAGGAGTTGGGGGTGTAGGCTTAAGGGGGTGGGGTGTTTTGAAGGTGTGTAGATGGCAATTAGGGGTGTGGGCCCGAAACAGGGGTAAAGGTGGGGGGAAGGCTGGGGAAAATGAAAGCCGTGGGGGTGGTGTGGTGAAAAGTGGGTTGTCATTGCCGGGTTGGGCATGGTGATGTGGATGATGGGTGCGGGGTGAGAAAAAGGTTGGGTGTAGACAGTAATCAAGCAGGGGTGCAAAGTGTTTAGGGATGAAAAGTCGAGTAAGAGTGGCCATCAGGTCACGGGGAAAGGGTGTGGGTGTAGGATGTTTGTGAGTGAATTATAGGGGTGGGTGGATGGGTGGAAGACAAGCGTGGGAAATAGGGGTGCGGGAGAAAGTGGGGGAAAGGGCATGTGCCATGGGGGAATTAAGAAGGGGGTGGAAAATTGTGGGGCTTGTGGGGGGTAGATGAGGTTGCGGGGTGTGGGCGGGGCGGGTGACCCCAGAAGCAGGGGGAAAACCTGGGGGGTGTCCCGGGCCCCAAACTTTTTTTCCGGGGCCCGTCCATGGCCAGGCCTTGCTGTAAATCAGGGCCTATCAAACCGGGCTGTTACCCCGGGCCAAACATAACCAATGTACTAACCCAGCCGGGCTGGTCAGGTCTGATTTTAAGTACTGTCCAGCCCCCTTTTGAAGCCACCGGGATTGGTAATCCCCCTTAGATGGTTTTTGGTGGAAGCAAGTGGTTGGTGGAAGCTTGTGGGGGGGTATGGCCGGGTGTGTACAAAGTCATGAAATATGGTATGGATGCGTATAACAGAGCACTGAGCCTCGGGCATACCTTATAAAAGTCCCACTGTTTGACACTTTGGGTATCCTAAACTACATTTACTCACTGTTTTTTTGGGGAGACTAAATTCCACTGCAGTACAGTTTTATAAACGAATAAATTCACAATGAAAAGGCTTTCGGGCTGGCGTGGCACACCCGTTTTGCTTTTTGGGAAGCTGGTGCGGAAAACGGGTCCTGGTTTTCATTATTTACGGGTTATAAGGCAGTTTTTTACCCCATGAAGCCTGAAAGGACCTCCTGGTCTTAGATATTTTGAAATCATGAAGGGGCGTAAAGACCCAAAGAGTTGAACGGGGTAAAAAATAATGACGGTGGCATATTTGAAGACAAAGCAAAATTTTGCGTACTATTTTTCCGGGAACACATAATCCCCTCCCACGTAATAAAAAACACAGTCGGCACTTGCGTACTTGTATATCAGACAACGTCATCACCATCATACGGGATACAACACACAGTCATCACCACAACTGGATATCAACCAAAGTCATCACTTGTATTTGTACATCAGACACACAGCATACCCTCATACTGGTCATCAGACACACAGCCACCTGTGTACCCAAAATCAAACACACAAAATCACCTGTGTACTGGTACATCAGAGACAGTTCAAGGTTTTAAAACAACTCAAGTTTTGGTCACCAACTCCTTATGCAAAGGGGGTAAATCTAACCCGCTGGTCCAGCACTATATCAGGTTAACATTGCCTCAGTAACATGTTTAAAAAACAAAAACCACCATTATCACACCTACAACCCCATCTTCAATCCAACAACCCCATCTTCACTACCAAAAACCACCATCTTTACTACCAAAAACCACCACTTTCACACCAACAACCCCCTATTTTATATTTAAATCAAGCTTTTTAAGAGTGGGGGAGTGTGTTTGACACTGGAATGAAGAGTGAGGGTGTGTTTGCACTGGAATGAAAGTGATGGAATGTGTTGTCGACACGGAATGAAAGGGGATGGGTTGTTTGCCTTACAGAATGAAAGGATGGAGTGGCTGTCTGACACGAATGAAGACGGGGGGAGTGTGTTGTCTGACCAAATAAAGAGTGGGGGAGTGTTTTCTCACAGGAATGAAGATGGGGAGTGTGTTGTCTGCACGGAATGGGGGATAATCAGCACAGCATTTTTTGAGGGTTATTATTTGGTTTAGGGGATTTTTGTCATTAGCCCCAGGAAAAAACCTAGGGGAATAAAGATAAATTAGAGATGGACAATGTAAGTAGTGTTTTGTAGGTACACAGTAAGACTTTGGGGAGAAAACTTACGGTTTTGGGGAGTTTCTTGGGTTGTTGTCGGAATTAAATTTCATATTGCAAATTTAAATTTAAACCTAAATGGCAAACTATGGGGGTCCATACACACAGGGGTGACTAAGGCTCCATACACAGTGGCATGACTGTAGGTTCCTCACACGTGGCACGACAAGTTCCACACACACACATGCAAACTATAGCCTCCTACCACAGTGGCATGCTAAGGCTTTCACAGTGGCATACTATAGGTTTCATACACACGTACATGACTATAGGCTCCATCAACAAGGATGAATATAGGGTTCCCCCCCCACAGTGGCTGATATAGGGTTTTGCCAAAGTGGTATGGCTATAGGTTCCACAAACCAATGGGATGACATAGGCTCCACACACACACAGTGGTATTTCTATAGCCCACACCACAGTGGCTGACTTAGGCCCGCCAAAATAGGGGCATGACTATAGGCTCCACACACAGTATGATATAGGGTTTTCACGTGGCATAAATATAGGCTCCTACACAGTGGGATGATTACAGGCACACCACACAGGGGATAAATATAAATCCACAACAACCACGGGCATGACTATACAATCAACAAGTTTATTGTCTATAAAAACACGAGCAGGGTTTACTTTTAAAAATATTGGTTCAATTTTGGTTACTATTTTAAAATACTAATTTCGAGAGGGCCTACATGCCCAGCAGACTAGGCATTTCGGGCAGACTAAGATTAATTTAAACTCTAATTGGTACAAAATTATGGACACGTTGAATTAAGGCTATGTAAAGCATTACAGTTCGAAAATTTAGCAATGTAATGGGGTTTTTTCTTTGGGAAATACATATTTCTATTTTAAACTCTTATATTGGTATCCAGGCAAACTTAGACTAGTTTTTAAAATTCATTTGGGAAAGTTTTATTATGTATTTCTATGTTTACAGTCAAAAAGGGGAGTGTAAGTGTGAATTGGGGATCACAGATTTGAAGTAGGTCATTTTTTTTGTTATGTAAACAAAAATAGGGGGTTTTCATGTGTTTCTGATGAAATAAAAGGACACAAGTGCAACTAATGTGACATTTATTGTGGCAACGTTTCGCTCTCCAGGAGCTTTATCAAGCCATTACAAACAATACATGGACACAGAGGGTATATAAAGGCTCAGAGTGAGGTGTAATACTAGTGAGGTACCATTTTGATGTTCACTACTAGTAGTAGTAGTAGTAGTAGTAGTAGTATAGTAGTAGTAGTAGTAGTAGTAGTAGTAGTAGTAGTAGTAGTAGTAGTAAGTAGTAGTAGTAGTAGTAGTAGTAGTAGTAGTAGTAGTAGTAGTAGTAGTAGTAGTAGTAGTAGTAGTAGTAGTAGTAGTAGTAGTAGTAGTAGTAGTATAGTAGTAGTAGTAGTATAGTAGTAGTAGTAGTAGTAGTAGTAGTAGTAGTAGTAGTAGTAGTAGTATAGTAGTAGTAGTAGTAGTAGTAGTAGTAGTAGTAGTAGTAGTAGTAGTAGTAGTAGTAGTAGTAGTAGTAGTAGTAGTAGTAGTAGTAGTAGTAGTAGTAGTAGTAGTAGTAGTAGTAGTAGTAGTAGTAGTAGTAGTAGTAGTAGTAGTAGTAGTAGTAGTAGTAGTAGTGGTAGTGACAAAAGTAATACAATATGGTAGAGCAATTAATTCGTACATGAGTAAAAGGATATAAAAGCTATTACTTGGGTAACATAAAAATAGGTTGGACAAATATAGACTGGAATGAGGCAGCTTGTTCCAGTGTTCACTCTCTGTGCTTTGTGTAGTATAACAGGAGAGACTATGTGATGGCAGGGTTTACTGTTTTCAGGAGGATTCTTGCTAAGACTTCGGAGATGGTGAAGCTGCCGTTGTTTTGTTTAATTGTATTCGAAACAGCGATCAGTGCTGATTCGAGGCTGATTCGGTTTCGAATACAATTAAACAAAACAACGGCA